AAAAAATTCTTGCTGTACATCTTAATGAACAAACAAATTTTGATCGACGACAAATTTTAACAGAAAAACGTGGACCACGTTCAACATTAGGTTATGATGATATTGTTGCATATAATAATGTTATTTTATATACTGATGTTCTTAGACCAATTTTACATATTTGTACATTAACAAATTCAAATCCTTGTATGAATATCTCACTTATATTTCCTTCACCTCAACGATCAATATTACCACTTCGTCTAAGTATTATTCAAGTATCAAATCTTCGACCGCCAATATTCGATGATGACGATGGTATTGAACTTCATATAAATGAATCTACTACTATTCCGTCACCATTAGCTCTATTGATTTCGAATAAGACAACTGAATTACCGCATCTTATCAATGATACTTCAACTAAACCTTATGTACATAAAGAAATAAGTGCAAGTAACATTTGGATGCTAATACTTGGAATTTGCATTGGTTTAGTTCTTGCTGGTGTATCTTTTTTAATTTATTATATTATACGGAATAAAAATCAATCAAAACTGAAAAAACAATTTGTAACAATAGATCGAAAGTCGTCATCAACAAAAACGAGTAAATCAGGACGTACACCACTTCTTGAAAGTAATCGAACAAATGAAGTTAAAACAAAAACTGAATCATCAAATTCACCATTATCAGGTTCATCTGTAACTGAATCAAATACAGAAAGTTCAAGTGAACTAACAACAATTACAAGTAGTTCATCGAGTTATCGGCCAGATATAATTCTTTAGTTTTTATTCTTTATTTTGTTTTTCTTTTTTTTTTCATCTTCACTTATTTCATTTTTATTTTTTTATTATTTCTATTCTTAAATACACATACTTATACATTCACATATCCAGCAAACTAAATAAAATCTAAGCAAATTATAATAACCTTCGATTCAAGGATAGACTAATGGTTAAAATCGTAAAATATATGTCGCTACTCTTCTTACATTAATATCCTACTGATGTCGAACAGATGTGAATAAAGATTCGACCGTCTATGTTAAGGCAATTAGCATATAACCAGAAAGATGAAGAGCAAATATTGAAATATTATACAGATCATTTTTATCTATATACTAAGATATACAAAAAACAAGATCAAAGATATTTTGTCAAAGTGCAAGCAAAAGTTGACGAATGTCCAATAATAACCTTGTATTTTAATAAAATGATATCTGGATTTATACTTAAATCGATATGAAAGAATTTCAATGTGTTTTAATTGATATATCGTTCGCATAAGTTTTAGATGAATAATTCATATCCACTCGATTTTATTGAAGAGAATATTCATATATAAATTATTCGATAGACTCATTGTTTGAACATTCGTATCAGAGTCACTACAAATCAAGTTTCATATAAACTTAATTCATCGTAAAATTCAATATATTGAATTCTTTATTGAGCGTTAAAAAAAGTGGAATCAACCGTTTAAATTTAAATATTCAATCTACAATAAAACGTACTTTTTGTTAAACATTGAATTTGCCTTATAAGCATAACAAAAGAGCTTCTTAGTTTCCATTATACCAATCATATTTGATGATTCTTTATTTGACCTCAATTAGTCATATACATTTATTTATTTACTTCTTGATATTCATTGTAACCAGCGACCCATGTTTTTTTCATTGGTCAAAAATATTCATGACTCATTGTTGATTGTTTGATTAGAATAATGTACTTGTGAATCATTTTTTAAGTTTATTAATCTATTAATGGAAAAACTTTAGCTATTTTTCTTGTTTTTCTTTTTTTTATTTAGACCAACGAAACTGATGTCGAATCCATATCATTTTCAAGCAATACCGGCTAAAAAAGCTTTTGATGTAAATTTATCAACACCTATTAAAAATTTTATTAAAGCAACATTTGGTGATAAAGAAGATTATTCAGCATCAATTGAAGGACTTAATGCATTACGAGCTGAAGCATTACTTCGTAGTAATTATAGAGATGATTGTTCAAAATTACTTCGGTAATAGTCGGAGAAAAAAAAATATATCAAAAATTAAATTTTTCTTTTTGTTTGTGTATATTTAGATATTATGATCAATTACATGCTATTGAATATAAATTACCAATAACAGAAAATCAAATACGTATTTATTTTAAATGGCAAGATGCATTAGTTAGTGGTGGTGGTTTATTTGGTGGTAAACAAAAAACAAATGGTTCATGGAAATTAGCATATGAAAAAGCTTGTGTACTTTTTAATATTGGTCATGCATATAGTGAATTAGCATTAGCACAAAATTTATCTATGGATGAACAAATGAAAGCAGCATTAAGATATTTTCAATTATCATCTGGAGTTTTTTCATTTTTAAAAGATTATGTTAATGCAAATTCATTATCAGATTTATCCGTAGATTTTGAACCAGCTGTTTTAGCAAGTATTTCATGGTTTATGTTAGGCCAAGCAGCTGAACTTATTCATTTAAAATCATCTAGTTTTAAAGGTAGATTTATTATATTTTATGTTAAAATATATATAATGTCTGCTGTTTAGATGACCTTGCAGCTAAAGTTGCTGCTCATGCAGCTGATTGTTATAAAGAAGCTTATACATCAGCAAAAACGGAAAGTGCAAAAAAGATAATTCCAGATGTAAGTGGATTATTTTAACTTTCTATCGGTATTTAAGAATCGTTCAATTAAAATGTTTCGTGTGTCGATCAAATTGAGAATGACAGGAGTTTTTAATTATACTAACCGCCCTTGCTATCAAGACATTTAAATAATATAGAGAAAAAAGCAATAGCCATTACATACTTGAAGATATTTAAAGTTCTATATCTCGGCATGTATCGAAACTGAGTCTAATCGTTGTAATCTCGGTCGTGGTACATGACAATGCATATCTTCTGTTAATAATCTATCACAAGTTTCAAGTATTTTCGTGATGTTGAAACCGGGCTGGTCGGTCTTTTTCTCAATTTTCATGACTTTAATGATCTAAAAGTATGAGTCGGAAAGTCTTCAACTAATAAATTTCTAGTCGTTATCAAAATCTCACTTCTAACTTTTGAACATACACTTCTTCATCGTACAATGAAAGCTTCGGATCATGTTGAATGAATTGATTATTGTCATCAAAAGATAGTCAATCGTTAACTACTATCAGAAACTCTCTATGATTCAGTTCATATTTTCATTAGAAAAAAATATATTATAGTTGTTTTCCGACCAGGAATCGATTGCTGGTATACCATCAGTTCTTATGAGTACCGTGGTACACTGACGGCAGTGCAAACAAGTTTGCAACATGAGTGATATTTTGGCTGACTAACTAGAGAATCTCTTCCGCTGTCTCATTTCGATTTCAATTATATTTTGCCTATAGATACTACATAGTGTTCAAATAAAATTCTAAAAAGATTCTGCAGAACAACTTTTCTGTCCTGTCCTATACGACAGTAAGAATTCTTATTTTGACTTTCGATCACCAAAGTACATATTAGTTTATTAGTCATCTTATAAATAATTCATTTCATATGATTTTCAAATCCAACAACTAAAGTTGTCAATAATGAGTAATATTAGAAATAGAAGAAAATATAGAAACATATTGATTTATTATTTCAAGGACTATCCGCAAATTTTGAATCATGTCACTTACTGAAACAGATTATTTGTATAAACTTGTTATGTGTTTAAAAGATTTCTTGTCGCATTTATGTCCGAGATAGAGAGAAAAGGTTTACAAGGCCAAAGATAAAGTATATTCATTCGCATTTGCTACATCAAAAATCTGAATTTACCAAACATAAAAATTTAGAAAATTGACGCCATTACTTAATCTTAAGTTCCCAGATTAGTAATGCCGGCGGTCGAAAAACAGTAGGAGCTTGAAAGTAAGAATCCAATCACCAAATTCTTACCTTCAAATTCCTGCCATTTTTAGACCACTGGCATTATTAACCTGGGTTATGATACTTATTGAATTTCACGTTCTAAAAAGAAAACTGAGATCAAATCTTAAAAGAAAATGAATATAATTTTATTATAAGCAGATACCTTTTAATAATATCACTTGTGATTTTTATTTATTAATTATCTATACAAAATTTTTTACTATAAATATTAAGAATCATGTTTTATGGAATAAGAACGAAAAACTTGTTTAATTAAAGTTAAAAATTTTCAATTCATCTTTGAAATTTTATTTTCTAGCATTTCATCAATACTATGATAGTTAAACATTTATTATTTCAATCTAAAACTGAATTTCATTCTGGTAAACAAGCTCAAGCTGATAAAAAATATGGTGTTGCAGTTGTTCGATTTAATGTAAATGAAAATAAAAATAAAATAAAATAAAATCATTTTTGCTTTTTAAATAATTTAGCGTGGAAAAGAACTTGCTGATCAAGCTGTAAGTAAATGTACAATATCTGCATTTACACCAGGACTTCGTGCTAATCAAGATGAAATAGGAAAATCAGCCGAAGCAGCACGTAAAGATAATGATTTTGTCTATCATGAACGTTTACCAGATCCAAGATCAGTTGAAACAATTTTGGCTCAACCTGTTGCTAAACCATTACCGGTTACATTTCCAATAACACCTGATTTTCGAGGTAATTATATATTATTATATGAATATTTTTTTAATGTTTTTTAATATTTAGATTTATTTGCTTCACTTGTTCCAATTGCATTAAATAATGCATTAGGATCATTTAGTTCAAAACGTGCAGAAATAATGAATATTGAAATTAATCGTTTACGTGAAGCAACTAATGTACTTAATGCGTAAATATAATAATAAATAAAGTTTTAATGTTTTGTATTTATAATATTTTTGATATTTAGATTTTTAGCTTCACTTAATTTACCAGCTGCAATTGAAGATCGTGGTGGTCGTGAAATTCCACCATCACTTATTGAAAAAGCTAATGAAATAAAACGTCAAGGTGGTATTAATACATTAGAAAAAATGGTTAATGATTTACCAACATCATTAACTCGTAATAAAGAAATTCTTGATGAAGTATTATTTAGTTTTCTTTTGTTATTTATAATAACATTTTGTTTTGTTTTGTTTTTCTTTTATTTTAGGCAATTCGTATGTTAGATGATGAAGAACGAGGTGATACAGAATTACGTAATCAATTTAAAGGACGTTGGACCCGTACTCCATCATCAACATTAACAGCTCCATTACGTGCAGAAGCTAAAAAATATATGGATATTATTCAAACTGCTATTAATGCTGATAAAATTGTGCAAGAAAAATATCGCGCGAATCGAGATGCTATTGTTTCACTTAGTAAACAAACGGTAAATTGTCTCATATATATTTCCTAGAGTGATTGGTATGAGAATTGCGTATTAGCGGCCAAAAGTCTCTGTTCTAGAGGATTGAAAATTTGTGTGCACATACTTCCTCAAGAGTGACACAATTCTGCTTCAATTGCTTAAGTATAAAGAGAATTATCATGGGTAGCATCAATATCACCTTTGAACTTGGTGACTCTGGAAAAGATGAGCTTTCTAGATACGCTAACGGCTCATTATGTAGTGTTATATCTCGACTAGTCAAGAAATTAGTTTCGTTGAAGTTCATCAATCGTCTCTAGTGTTGTAGCCATTTTACTGTGACTATTGATGGGAAGAAAAATCATCTGGTGTTTTTTTTGAGACGAGAACGCAGTTGTAATTCATTGAATGAATCTCAAACTTTTAGAAAACCTATCTCCACAGTTGGACATTAATGACTATAAGTTGCATAAACAAACCATGTACTGATGAAAAATAACTAGATTTAAGCCAGATGGTCATGATCCTGTCGAGACCGGGACCGAAATCAACACTTTGTCATTGAGAGTGATATCTTTTATGGTCGTGTAAGATGTCTCGAGTGCAATGACACTATGGCCCGGGAGCAAAAATAATTGATCCCGCTGATCACTAAAAATGACATAGCTATGACCATTGTGTTGACGAGGCGGAGGATTCAGAAACGTCCATAGATGCCAATATTCGAGCAAATAAATTCATCTTGTGTATAAAGAACGACCGTAGACTGAACTCTAGTTCTACTCAAAAACGTCAAGAATTTATCATATATTTGGTAAGAAAGTAGTGCAAAAGTGTGTAGACAATCCTTCTCAATTTAAAAAGCTTTATGCAAACATAGATGTCATCCATCATAATTATCTGTGTACTGAAGCAATTGAAGCAGAATTGTGTCACTCTTAACGAAGTATCTCTACAAATATTTTCAGACCTCTAGCATTCATAATGACTGAGATCTTTTAGGGCAGAGACTTTCATGCATGACTGTGTGTCACGAAAAGTATTCTCCATCGAAATGTAAAAGACTTCTAATTTTGTGTTAATTGCAGGGTAGTTTAAGAGTGTATGAACGCAGAACATAGCGATTTTTCTTAAGATCGTAGAAACGATAGAAATATGGTCAAGTCTCAAAATAGTGAAAAGATCATTTTACTTAGGGTTAATCAAAAGTTCTGATCACGGTGTTTAAAATTTAATAAAATAATAAATATCGAAGGTTTTATTGGATGAATACATATTAGAATGTCTCGTGTACAATAATGTATATAACAACTCTATCTTAGGTTTAATTCTAACATTCTCTTAGATAAAGTCTATAATATAGTCACTATGCATATATTTTATTATCCCTCTTCCAATATTCTGTAACTTTCCACATTTTTCGTTTCTCTCTCTTGTATAACATTTTCTGATGTCGCGTTCTAAAATATTACATATTGATCGTGTATATAGAGTGAGAGATCGTCCGCTCTCAACTCATTTGTTTAGTTACCCCGATCCACGAATACGGAGTTCGTACACGTCGGTAAACGACCATATACGTTCACGATACAACCGTATTTTGACGGTTTACATGGTCCAGTATGACAATTGTATATCGTCGTGACTGTATACGGCGAAATACGATCCTATACGAAGATCGTAAACGATCGTTTTTTTCTCCGTATTAAGCGTGGATTGAATCTTTTTTCCAATAATGAAAGAACTAAAGAATTAAAAAGAAGAGAATACGGCAATAACCAGATTACGAAAAAATGACAGTATATGTATATATATATATATGATAACGATAACAGTATCACGTCTTACAAAATATGCCATACAAAATATTATTAAGTACGAGAAATATTGATACGCAATAAGAATAAAAAAGGTCAAGGTCAATATCAATGTTTATTGACCATGAGAGAACAGAAACGAATGTAGAGCGGTTAGATGAAAGGAAACGAAAGAACGAATAATTTCCAATTATCAAGAAGAACGAAAGAAACACATAGTTCGTCAGGAAGAATACATCCTTAACACGTATATCTCCATATACGACAGAGATATATGATCGAGATACTAGACCATGTAAATCATCGTATTTCTCCGTATACGGTTGTTTACGACCGTGCTCGTTTGACTTTGGTAGTTCTGTCAATTCAATTTAAAATTTGATTTCAACTTTTAAAAAAATTTATTAAATATGACTAATGAATTTAATCGATACTTATCTAAGAGAATGTTAGAATTAAATTCAAGATAGAGTCATTTTATACATTATTATAGACAAGGCATTCTAATATGTATCCATGCAATAAAACTTTCGATATTAACTATTTTATAAAATTTTAAACATCGCGATCAGAACTTTTAGTTTACCCTAACTACCAAAGGACAAAACGACTGAGAATCTTATTCGTGATACTATACAGTTTACGATTAGAAGTTTTCTTGGATATATATATATATGAATAGTACAAATGTAGACCTTTATAATACAAATAAAAATTTAATATAATGATGCAAAGTGTTAATACACTGTCTGAATCTTTTTAATACATACTTGAATAACACTTAATAATCGGCCGTTGCAAGCTTCATCGATCGCATTCCCGAGTTCACGTTGTCACACTGGATTCTTGTTTTTTTAATTTTCTGCTTGCTAATGTTCCAGATCAGTTCAATGGTATATTATAAGCTAGAGAATGCGATTGATGAAGCTTGCAACGGTCTGTTATTAAATGTTATTCAAGCATCTATTAGAAAGACTCAGACAGTATATCAACACTTCGTATTGCCTAGAGATGTCCATGGCGGCAGGTTCTTTTTTAGAAGACACTTTCATAGATTTGTACAGGATTCAGGTGTCCATAATTGTAACATTCAGAGACTAGATGAATCTCATGGATTCATACCAACAGTTCTAGTTCAGTACAGTAATGACAGAAATTTTCGAAAGACTTTTTGAAAACCATCGCGACAGTGGTATATTCTCAGCCGCGATGAACATCTTTGGTATCTTCATATTAAACTTTTATTTGTATTATAAAGGTCTACATTTGTACTATTCATATATATCCAAGAAAACTTCTTCTGACCGTAAACTTTATATTTTAGATCAAAAATATGATTCGCAGTCGTTTTTTCGTTGATAGAAAGATTTTACCACAACCTTTTCACTATAGTCTCAACATATCCTGAAAAACTCAGAAGATTTGAATATACCTGAAACGAAGTCGGTTTCTGAAGGGGGTCGGAGTCTTAATAATATATTCTATAGAGATCCGATAATGTTTTTTTTAATATTGTATTATCTATTTGTATTTTTTCTTAGCATGAAATAGCTAATGAACTTCCATCAGCATCTGCTGCTGGTGCTTTACGTGATGCATTTGTGGTACGTGAATTACATCGTTTAATGGATACTGTAGCTTCAGTAAAAGCTGAACGTGAAGTAATTGAATCAGAATTAAAAAATACTGATTCAGATGGTGTTCGTGCTCGTTTAATTGGTGCTTTTCAACAAGGAAATCATAATGATGAAAATAGTGTTGTTGTTAATGAAATCGAATCAATTTATGCACCCTTACGACAACAAGTTAATGAAAGTGTTTCAAAACAAGAACAACTTGTTGAAAATATTCGTCGTGCAAATCAACAATTTCAAAATGAAAAACAAGGAAATGCATCATCAGAAATGCGTGAAGAAATGTTAAAAAAATTAGCTCGAGCATATGATGCTTTTCAAGAATTATTGAGTAATTTAAGAGAAGGATCAAAAGTTAGTTAAATTTCATTTTATTTAATAATTTATACTTAGATCGTTCTAAAAATTTCGAGATTGATTTTATTTTAAAAAAAGTAAGAGAGTAATAATTATAAATATATGGTTTATTTTTCGAAATATTTTCTCTCTATCACAATTCACTCTTGCCAACCCTGTGGAATCTTTTATATATAGCTACTGTGAAGTTATCTTCAGATAAACCATGATTTACCGTTAAATTAATTTAGTATTTGCGACATGAGTGCATGAACAACAAATAATTAGACAGTAATTTCAAAACGGTAACGTTCTTTGTTGGTTTTAAATAAAATCCGTCTTGAAACTATTTAAATCACTTTCGTATACCTTCTTATTTTATCAATTTTTCTTTTTAGTTTTATCAAGATCTTACACCATTATTACTTAAATTTCAAAATAAAGTATCCGATTTTGTATTTGCACGTAAAACAGAAAAGGAAGATTTAATGAAAGATATTCAACGAGGAATTGTTGGTGGAAATGTTCCACCACCATCAAGTATGTACATCAATCAATTATTTCAATAAATGATTATTTTATTCTATAGCAACACCAGCATATCAACCAACTGCTGCTCCACATTATCCACCAGGTACTGCTCCACCATATCCACAACCAGCAGCACCATCAACTGGTGGTCAACCACCACCAACAGCACCTGGTATGATTGAGAGTAAAAGAAATGATTGATTTTTTTTTCTGAATATTTTTCTTTTAAGATGGTTCAGCATTGCCTTATCCAACTTCATATATGCAACCATTCTTTCCAATGCCACCTACTTATAATCCATATAATCCATATTTTAATATGAGTAAGTTAATGAATTAGAATTTAATTGGAAATTTTTTGTTTTTAAATTTTTGTTTAGTGGCTCCTCCTTATCCAATGGCCGGTGCTCCACCGTATCCACAACATGGTAAGAAAATAATATATTAGAGAATGCATTGTTTAATGTTGATATTTAGGTTATGGTGTTAATAGACCACAAGCTGGTGGTAGTCAAAAGAGACCATAAACTTTCTATTATTTTGTATAATCGAATAAATATATTACTTTTTTTTTTCCTTTGTTGAGCTTATTTTTTCGTCGATACACATCTTCAATGTCTTTATTGAGACAAACAAAAAGAAAGACTATCTATTCTGCTTTTTCCTTTCTATTCTGTTTGCAATTCTTGATTTGTACTAATATCATTTTTGACATTCATTTTTTCTCTTCTTCTTCTTCTTGTGATTATTCTTTTACTTAATTCCTTCTTATTTCTTCATTAACTTTTTGAAACAAAGAAAAAAAAAACATTTATGATAAATAAAATGAATGTATGTTATGAAAAGATTTTTGAACTCAGTATCAAGATATTTTATTCATTGTTCATCAAAATGTGGTCGATATTCACCTGGACGATGCAATTGAATATGACCATTTGGTCTAGCTGAAGGCGGTGTTGATTGTAGACTACCAGAAGTAGTATAAGGTGAATAATAAAAATCTCGACCACCTACTTGATTATTAAATATACCGTGTTGAAAACCATTTATCATTGGAGAATAAGGTTGTTGAAAACCTCTACCAGTATACATGGGATAATCATAAGATTGTCTATAACTCACTGGTGTGTATACACCATGATTGAAAATTATATTGTCATTTGGATGCATTCCACTATTACCTCTATTTTTTCTTTTTTTGTAAAAGATAATAAATAATAATAAAAAAGAACAAAATAAATAACTTTGCAATTAGGTTACAAATTTAATTATGTAGACATTTGTATAATTATCTATTCGTAAAAGAACAAAACTCATCATGAATGTAGTCTATTGAAAAGACATGTGTTTCTATTTTATTGACTAATATGATTGACATTATCTATGAACAAATGTTTGATGATATAGCCAATCATTTTAATTCATTAGCATGTCTTCAAATCAATATATTATTCTCAAATTCGATTATAAAATAACAGTTAATAGAAGTATTCGAACATAATCTATTTCGCAGTATAGACTATGAATTCAATACATAGACTAAAATGTCGGAGGTGGTATAACTGATTTGCTCAGCTATTGAATATATCGCATTTTACATATCTTTGAAATTTCATTTTTTTTTTGTTGTCTAAATGAATTTATGGTTAGTTGATATTCACAATGAAATTTATTTTACCGCAATATTTCATTATGTAATAATAGAGAAATAGAGTTTAAATATGAAATATCACTTATTTCAATACAACTCAAATATAATAATGATTTTCACACATGATATATAATCCAAGTGACAAAGATTAATATGCATCTAAAATGTGTCATAACTAATGCATTATAAAGTACAATGTATTTCAAATTAGTGACATTTATCACGCGTATGATCATTTTTTGTAGATAGACTAATGATCATCATAAATATTTTATCACAATGTATTGTTATGACAATCGATTTAAATCATTGATAAACCATTCTATACAGACACTGTCAATTAAATACACAAAGCGACGGGACAGGTAGAGTTATCATCAGTAGAATATTAAATGAGATCCTCCTCAATCTCAAAGAGATATCAAGATTGATTGATTTGATTCAAATCTCTGGATTATATATTTAACCAAAGGAAAGTCATAGTCTGTAGACTTTGCCCGTTTTTAGTTTTGCTTCGAAAGTCATAACAGTTATGCAAATAGTGATGGAACCAAAAGAAACTTGTAGAGAGAGAGAGAGAGCTCAATCTCCCTTTGAAGTCGAAACGAAGGTATAGAGTCTTCTCCAGTCACTCCCTGACTCCGTCACTATATGAAAATCAAATAATCTATAGACAAAGACAGCATGATCGGAGAGGAAACCCTCCTACCTTAAAAATTTGTATTAGATCGTTCTTCGACTCTATATGTCCTAACTGTCTATGAATTCTGAAGCCGCCATGGCTAACGAGAGAAAATTCATATTTTCGAATTTTAATCTGAAACTTTGTGCATATATTTCAAGACATAGATTCTTTTCCAGGGATAGTATATACAACGTGCATTTATTGCAAACTTCAAATCTGAAGAAAGATTGTTCGAAACTTTTGAAACTTTGTGAAACTCACGGATATTTTCAAAGAAAATAGTGAATGTAAGTTTTTGCGGCTCCTTCTCCGCTTCCCATTACAGACCTCAGTAATAGGCTTCAGATTTATTTATTAATTAAAAAACGGAGTTGAACAGTATAAAAAATATGAGCTTGACTGCTATACAATATTTCAACGCCTTCATTAATATTTGAAAAACTATAATATATTTGTTAAAGTTTTTAATAGCGAAAACGTCGACTTTTTTTTAGAATTTAAACTTGTATTTTAAAAATGAAGAGTAATAATAGATTGATCTGTCATAGCAACCATATAATCAACATGAAAAGTATAATTCGATTACGGCAAGAACTGCTGATGCATATATAGTGAATTATTATAATAGTCTAATGTATAAGATAGTCGATGGTCAAGTAAAATAATAATATCGAATTAAAAAAAAAACAAAATAATGACTAATATTGAGTGTATAGAAACGATTATAAATGAAATTGAGCGCTCTCAAACAAAAAAAAATGTTGCGTTTTAAATGTAGATATAAATAACAAAGTCTCGCCTTGTCACTGATTATCGATGAAAACAACTAGTGTACAAGAAATTTTTCAGTTTACATGTGATATATTAGAGTACTAAGATGTGAGTTCCACATTTCAGCTCCAAAGGAGTTGCACTAACAAGCTTTTTTTACGGAAGCTAGTCTAGTTGAGTTCTCTATGCGTACAAAGTTTTAGATCAAAATTCGATAACTTAGTCAAATCTCAATAGGAACCAAAATTCCTTGAGTGTTTTTATTAGAATGCTATGCAGTATCTATAGACAAGAAAATCATTGAAACCGGAAGGGGACAGCTCAAGAGATTCTACCGAGGCCTTGTGGCTCCGCCGCCTATAAGTATAGCTATTCGTAATTGTAGGAAAGATATAGGACTATTGAATCTGCAGCTAGGCAGTACCTCATAGCACCAAGCAGGAGTATTCTCCTTCCTATAGAGGATAATCACTAGTATAGGATGACATCTGTAATATTTTACTAATAAATTTCTTTAAGTATTAGATTATTTTTAATCTCTACTATTGTAATCATCATTAAATTTATTATCTATATTCTAATATCATGTTTTAATATTCTTATAATTCAATAAATAATTAGCTCCATCTATATTCTACCTTTATTTTTCATATTTAATTAAAACCTATTAAAAAACATTTCTAAAGTTTAATATATATCATCATTGAAAATAAAAATTTCATTTGATGTAATTTATTCAACACTTCTAGTAATATAATAAGAATACTTTAAAAAAAAAAAGAAGCAGTCATATGTACAATAAGAGAATACAGAAGAAAGAATGAATGTATATATATATATTTTTTTTTTTGTTCAATATATATCGATTGAGAGAAGAAGAGGAAAGAAGAAAAAAAAGAAGAAGAAGAAGCAATATTTGTTCATTCGTTCATTGACTTTAACATCGGTCAACATTCTTTTTTTCTTATATTCATTGTTCTATTAACGTAATGTTATTCTTATATTTCGTATCAATATTTTATGTAATTAAATATTCATTATCTGAACAATGTCCATCATCAAATTTTTGTATCTGTTCATCAGATTTAACAATAATAACATGTACAAATCGTCAATTAACAGATGAAAATTTAATTAATCTTAATAATCAATTTCCAAAATCAACAATAATATTAAATCTTTCATCAAATTCTTTAACATCAATAAATTCATTAATAAATTTAAATAATCTTCAAATACTTGATTTATCATATAATAAAATTTTTTATTTACCATCAAATTTATTTACAAAATATTCACAATTATCATCATTATATATATCAAATAATTTAATAAAAACAATTCCAAAAACATATAATGAAATATCAAATATTAATTTTGATATATCAAATAATCCATTAAATTGTACATGTTCATTAAAATGGTTAATAAAATGGTTTCAAACAATAAAACTTTTAAATAAAATAAATTGTCAAAAATCAAAACAATTAAATGAAAATGATTTTTTTTGTTTAAATCAAAAGAAAAAAGATTTTCTTTTAATAACACCTGAACAATCACAAATTGTTTATCAAAATGATCCATTTATATTAAATTGTTCATCAAATACAAAAATTTTTTGGACATTTAATGAAAATTTTTATTCAAATAATTCAACTATATTTATACCATATTTAAAATTAAATCATTCTGGTTTATGGACATGTCATAGTTTAAATTTAAATCGTTCAGTATCATTACATGTTTTAAATATTCAAACAAATCATTTTTGTCAATCATTACAAATGGATACATCGAAAGGACATTTTTATTGGCCACGTACATTAACGGGACAAATTGTACAATTAAAATGTCCATTTGGTTCAGCGGCATGGTTAATTAATTCTTATGATGATAGTAAAGCATATTATACATGTTCATTTAATCGACAATGGATTGATTTAGATTTATCACAATGTGCATTTCGTACAAATATATCAAGAGAATTTGATCGTTTATTATTAAAAAATTCAACAAATTTATTAACAAAATTATTAACATATATATCAAAAATTGATTTTAATGAATTTAAATTTGATGATATTATTTTTTTAATTGATGTAATTGATGATGAAAAAGATAAATATATTTATATGAAAAAAAATTTTGAAGAAATTTCAATGTTAATTTATCGTTTAACAGATTTTATTTTACAAATTAATTTAAATTTTATTCATATTAATGAATATCAATTAGCTTTAAATCGTTTAAGATCTATAATTGAAGATTTATTAAATTTAACTAATTATTCATGGGTTTATGTTGGTAAACAATTAACAGCTATGACTTTAGAATCACCATTACCACCAACAATATGTTATATACCAAATCGATCTTTATTAACAATTATTTGTGGAATACTTAATCGACAATATAAACGTCATGAGGTTTTTAATTTTATTTTAAAAAGAAAAGAAAAGTGATAAAAAATGTTTTTTTTGCTTTAGCCTCGATTAGCAACAATACAATTTCCATTAAAATCAAATATAACTACTAATCAATCATCAATTTTTAGAATTATATTTTATCGAAAATCAACATTATTTACATCGGATATACAAATAAATAATAATCCTGTTATTTATATGCAACCAAGTAAGAATATATCGTATTTAAAACTCAAATCAAAGGATCGAATAGATTTGTTTACGAGAAAATCATCTAAAGTGATAGCTCGGGTTTGAGATAAGACTTCCAGTTATTCTCGAAATGAGCCGCTCGGTCTGACAATTTTATCCTTTTTGACATAACTTTTTCTGAGACTTGGCTTACCCCTGAGGAGGGATAGGAAGAACCTTCTTCACGCTACCCTCCGCCTCTGGTCATTAATTTTTATAAAGGCCGAAAAATATGGAATAGGTGTCTATTGAGAGAAAAACCTTTTATAAATGAAGTTTCTTTCGGGTCCAGGCCATAAAAAAGTGGCCCGATTTTGAGGCCTGCTCATTATGTAGAGCTTCACTTCAAACGCTAAGTATCACCTTGGATGGTTCCTTTGTTAGTAAAACTTAAACCATCGGCTTA